GGGAAAGACAAGAAACTCCACGCCATCTACTATGCAAGTAGAACTTTGGATGATGCTCAGAAGAATTATGCAACAACTGAGAAGGAATTGTTAGCTGTTGTGTTTGCTTTTGAGAAGTTCAGGCAATATCTTGTTGGCTCCAAGGTCGTGGTTCATACTGACCATTCAGCACTGAAGTACCTGATGCAAAAGAAGGATGCAAAGCCAAGGCTGTTGAGATGGATCCTGCTTCTTCAGGAGATTGACATTGAAGTGAAGGACAAGAAAGGTGTTGAGAATGGAGTTGCTGATCATCTATACCGGATTCAAGTCGAAGATAGTGTCCCAATCAATGATTTCTTGCCTGAAGAGAATGTTTACTTAGTGGAAACAAGAGAACAGGAGAAAGTATTGAAAACCTGCAGTTTTCTCGAAACTGCAGGGGAGTGACGAGCGACACCAGGAGGGTGACGCTCGTCACCAACCCAGAACAGCCACGACCAAAGTGTACGAAAGAGGTGACGCTCGTCACCAATATTGGTGACGCTCATCACCAATCTCTACACTTTTCTGCGATTTGTGCAAGCTTGGGGATTGCTTTTGAAGAGCCTGTTTATGCTTTGAATGATCCAAAGAGGCTCTGGTACGCTGATATTGCAAATTACCTTGCTGCAGAGGATGAACCATATGACTTCAAAGGCTATGCTAAGAAGAAGTTCTTGAGAGAACTTAGGAGATTCTATTGGGATGAGCCATACCTCTACAAGCATTGTGCTGATGGGATCTACAGGAGATGCATAGCAGAAGAAGAAATGCAGGACGTCCTCTTTCACTGTCATGGATCAGAGTATGCTGGACACTTTGCTACATTCAAGACTGTCTCTAAGGTATTGCAAGCTGGATTTTGGTGGCCTACTATGTTCAGAGACGCCCAGGCCTTCATTACAAGCTGTGATACTTGTCAGAGAAGAGGAAAAATCAGCAGGAGACATGAGATGCCATAGAACTTCATTCTGGAAGTTGAAGTCTTTGATTGTTGGGGTATTGACTTCATGGGACCTTTTCCCTCATCCTATGGGAATAAATACATTATGGTTGCTGTTGATTATGTATCTAAGTGGGTAGAGGCGTTGGCTACTCCTACTAATGATGCAGCAGTGGTTTTGAAACTGTTTAAGACCATTATCTTTCCCAGATTTGGTGTCCCGCGGATTATCATAAGTGATGGTGGTTCTCACTTTGTCAATAAGGTTTTTGACAAACTATTGAAGAAGTATGGTGTACAGCACAAAGTAGCCACGTCCTATCACCCCCAAACAAGTGGGAAAGTTGAGGTTTCCAACAGACAGATCAAGCAGATTCTGGAAAAGACAGTTGGGAAGACAAGGAAAGATTGGTCTGCAAAGCTGGATGATGCATTATGGGCTTACAGAACAGCATACAACATGCCACTTGGGACTACACCATTCCATCTTCTCTATGGCAAGGCGTGCCATCTACCAGTAGAGTTGGAGTTCAAAGCAGAATGGGCCAACAAGAAGCTGAACTTCGATCTGAAGCCTGCTGCAGGAAGGCGCTTGATTCAGCTCAATGAACTGGATGAGATCAGATATCTGCCATATGAAAACTCCAAGTTATACAAGTAGAGGACAAAGGCATATCATGATAAAAAGATCATCTCCAGGCATTTCGAGCCCAATGACCAGGTATTACTCAACAACTCTCGTTTACAGCTTTTTCCCGGTAAATTGCGTTCTCGATGGTCAGGTCCTTTCACTGTCAAAGAAGCTCGTCCACATGGTGCAATTGTCCTGATTAACTTTAAAGGAGAGGAGTTCACTGTCAATGGACAAAGGGTAAAGCATTACTGGGCACAAGCAGAGATTCCAGCAGGACACATTGTGTCTCTGGATGATGCACCAGCTGTCTAACCAGCCAACCACAGTCAAGCTAATGACTTTAAACAAGCGCTTAGTGGGAGGCAACCCACTGGTAAGTTGTAGATATTATATTTAGCTATTAGTTTCGTGCTTATGATTAGTAATTAGAATTTTATTCAGTTAAAAAAAAAAACAAAAAAAAAATGGTGACGATCATCACCCTTATGGTGACGCTCGTCACCCGTAGGAGTCGAACATGGGGGGGTTTATTTTCTTCTTCTTCTTCCTCGTGCTCACTTCTCAAATAACGAACACATAGTAATATTCTCACAAATTCCTAACTTTTGATTTTCTAAACCAAATTAAGTGATTCAAGAGTCTAATCCGTGCGGATTTTGCTCCTCTTTCTGAATATCAACTCGGTTTTTAAGATCTGCAAGGTATGTGTTCGGAATTCCCAATTTTCAGTCCGCCATAGGTTTGGTAAAATCCGATTTTTGACTTGATTGGCTTGATTTAACTATTGAATCATGGTTAGTTAGGTTGTATTAGAGGAATGGAACCATCTATGTGAGCTTTTATCGGTTGATTTGCAAGTTTTAAATTTTCGAGTTCATGATGAAAATTGCAAAAATCTAGAAACTTTAGGTGATTTGGGTTGAACTGATGATTGAATTGTGTTCCTGGTAGTGCTGTAGTTGAACGCCATCAGTTATTTCACCTTGATTGATTGATTTTTCGAATTTTGAAAAATTTGCTAATTTTAGTGATGTTTTTGGTCGATTTTGATCTTCAATTTTCAGATGCCTCGACAGGAGAAACGACCAAAGCAAAGCTCGTCTTCAAGCACTGCAACAGAGTCTACAGATTCCTTCAGTCAGTACCCAGTTTGCAGGCCTCCATGGCCCAAGCGAGAAGATCGGAAAATAGCCTCTAGAGTGGCTTGGGCAGGAACTCCGAGGCAGGAAATATCACAGGACACTTGTATATTCTGGGATATCCAGGAGGAATGGGATGAGTATGACACGCTATTCTACAATACGTGGCTGGGAGTGAAGATTATCCCCACTCGGTTCGCGGATTCTGCCGTTCTGCAGAAGATGGGGATCTTCGAGGAGGTTGTTCAGATTCTAGAGAGCATTGGGATGGGGACTATGCCGTTCCAGCAGTATGATCTCTACTGATAAACTCATAATTTAGCATATTTTAGCACTCATTTAGGATAGATTTTGTATTCATATTGCATTCATATTTAGATTATTTGTAATTTTTGCTCCATTTTAGGTTTTAGACATGTTTGCATTAGCATTTGCATATTTCTTGCATATATGCATTGTTTTTAGGTAATATCGAGTACATGGAGCTGTGTTGGACGCTGAGCATGGACAAGGAGTCAAAAGAAGAGATTGGAAGTTGCTGGGAGTCAAGAAAGAGTTCGGCCAAAAAAAATTAGGCAGAGATCGACCACCAGATCGACCATCCCACTCGTTTGAGGCAGAGATCGACCACCAGATCGACCATCCCACTCTTTTCAGGCAGAGATCGACCACCAGATCGACCATCCCACTCGTTTCAGCCTCAGATAGACCACTAGATCGACCAGGCCACCCGTTTCAGCTCAGATCGACCACTAGATCGACCAGGCGGGTCGATCTTCGGCCCAGATTTCTGCTTCCTTCCTTGGACAGCTCAGACTTTGTCTTTTAGTGAGGGGACCAGTTGTGTGGTCCTATATGAACACTCTAAACCTAAAATTTTGGGGGATCCACGAAATTTACAGCCTCTATCCCCATTTTTGGGTTTTGTGGATCACCATTAAAGCATCTTTTTCTATTATCAAGCTTTATCTCTTGTAAAAACTTTGATTTTGAATTTAAGAACTTCTCTTTAAGCTTTAATCTTTCTTTCTTGTTATCTTAATCATATTTAACTCCTCTTATCTTATGATGAAGAGGGGTTTGAAAATGATAATAGAGTAGTTCTTTAGGATTTAAGGATGAGGTGATTAGGAAGGTTTTAAAGGTTAGATCTTGGTATTTTTTTGCTCTTAACTTTATCCTTTCTTGGTTTAGAGTATCAAATGCTTAAAGACCTTGAGAGAGGCTTTATGATCCAAGAGATTTCCTTTTCTCATAAGAACTTAGGAGATCTCTTATGTCCAAACCAAGAGACTAGTATGCCTTAAAGACCACGGAAGTGGCAAGTAAGGGCTAGTTAAGCCATGCTAAGATCCGTGCTTCAGCTCCATCAACCATCCTTTTCCACCACAAGCCATGGGTTTGGAGGGGATGAATGATGAGAGGAACTTATCTTACCCACAAGCCATGGGAAGATTGCTTCTTAGGCTTAAGGATAGCTCATTTTGAAATGTGTAGATTTACTTTTTTCAAACAAAGATCGAACCTTAAGCTTCCCTAAGCATGAACCTCATCCTTAGATCTGTTATTTATCATTCAAGTAGTTTTCAAAAGCTTTCTCCTTTAGATTTAAAGTTTGCTCATTTAAGTTGCTAGAAATAGCCTTAATTGCCTGTTTTCAGTTTTTGAATTTTCATAATCAGTAGTCTTGCACTTTAAATTCCTAGTTTTCTTCTAGTAGTTGCTAACCCTTAAGAGGGGATTTTAAAATTGTTCTCTTGCTCATTTCGTATTGCATTTAGTTTTAGTTGAATTTCTCCCTCATTTACCCGAATTTGACTTAGCTTTACTTTGCTCTTGTATTCCTAGTTTCTTTCTCACCTAGGCTGGATTGACACCTAAAGTACTACAGCAACACTAAGAGGCTTTATGATTGATAATTAGAACTGTGAAAAAAGGCTTTCTATCAATTGGCGCCGTTGCCAACTTAGGTTTTGCTGAAATTACTAGGATTTGGAGCTTAGTATAGACTAAGTTTTTGTTTTTCATTTTGGTTACTAACCCTCTTTCAAGTGTTTGTTCTTTTTGCAAGGCACAATCACAAGGAAGACAGTATGGATTCGGATATAGCATCAATGTTTGAGGCCTTATTAGCGAATCAAGAGAGAATGCTGGCTTGGGACCCAACTAGCAACCATGGTTTTGAAAGGTCATCCACTTATCAAAGAGGGCTTATGGATGAACATTATTCTCCAGAGAATCACTATGTATTGTTGAGGAATACCAATCCTGGGACATGGAGGACGAGCAAGGAGCAGCCTATTCTTCCCACATCTCTAAGGAGGAAGAAACTCTCAACATGATGAAGTTGCTTTTGGAGCAGCAAGGAGCAGCCTATTCTTCCCACATCTCTAAAGAGGAAGAAACTCTCAACATGATGAAGTTGCTTTTGGAGCAGCAAGAACAGCTTAATGAGAGCATTAGCATGCTTGACTTCAAACTAGGCTCTCCTGCTCCATTTTCAAGAGTTGCTGCAACAACACATGTGGAGTCTATCAACACCGAAATCTCACAAGAGAAAGAGGAACAAGAAGAGAAAGCTCTCACCAATGATGAATTCCAACAAGAAGCTGAAGAACTTGAAGCTCTTCTTAGGTACATTGTTGATGAAAATCTTGAGCAAAGATTTGAAGATCCTTGTGAAGAAAGTTTGGTTGTTGAATGTTTAGAGGATGCTAGTGAGAGCTCATTTATTGAGCAAGAGCCCTCCACCAAGAAAGAAACACATTTGCAACTCATTCCCAGGAAGGAGACAAAGGAGAATCCCATTGCATTAGCCTCCAAGGAGGGTGAAGAAGAAGAATCTCCAATGCAAAAACCTTTTGCCAAGCACCTCGGTTTCACCCTCACCAATGAAGAAAGCATTGAGGATCCACGGCAGTTACACTTTGAGGAGATAAGGATGCACACATTTGGGGGATGGTTCTATGATGAGTATGAGCCTGGTGATACAAGCCTCAACATGACCGAGGAGAAGAGCCTTGAGGATCCATGGAAGCTACCCTTTGAGGAGATAAGAATGCACACATTTGAGGGATGGTTCTATGATGAGTATGAGCCTGGTAATACAAGCCTCAACATGACCAAGGAAGATGGAGATTCAAAGGCACGCTCTTGGAAGCTCTTAAATACAGGAAAACTGAAGCATGTCCAGTAGATCGATGGCTAGATCGAGTGACAAGGTCGATCTAAGAGAACGGATCGATCGGTCCAAAAATGGATCGACCGATCTAATTTCTCTCGAGAAATTCTCAGAGTTTGGACCGATCGGTCCTATCTAGATCGACCTCGTGATCGAGCATGATCCTCGATCTTCTGCCCAGAACGACCCTCAGATCGATCCTCTAGCTCGATCCACAACACAGCCCAAGGTACACCATTCCAACACCTTGTATATATCATGAATTCTTGGCTTTTTGAATTTTATTTCTTGTTGCTGGTCTCTCTTGAACTTTTATTACACAAGAGACTGTGTAATTTAAGTTTGGGGGAGAGGTTAAGAGATTTAATTTTGTGTTTTGTTTTCTTATTTTCCCTTTAAGCATATTTGAGTCTTCATGCATATTCATTTGCATATAAAATCAGAAATATTTTCAAAATTTTCGAAAAAATTCATGTAGCTTGCACTTGATTGGTAAATATTTTAGGATGGAGTCTAGATATTATCATATAGGTTGCTTGCATTCACGTGCATATGGGGCAATTTTTCTTAAAAAGGTGTTTTATGCTCATGAATTAGTTCAAGGCCCTAGTTAGTAGTTCTTTGATGCTTGTGCAAACTTGAAGTTAAGTTCTAACCATATTTGGATCATTTGTTTTGATTTTCGTGGCTTAAGTTGAACAGACATGAATTGAATCCTTTCCTACTAAGTGAGAACCTTAATCTGAATTTGAATTATCACACTTGTGCATTTGAAATGGAATACATGGATCACATATACATATTCAGGCTTTCTTACCCCTTTCTACCACTCTTTGTAAGTCTGAATAGAACTCCACACCCTGAACCTTGCCTTCCTTTCAAGCCAAATATTTCTTGTGTGATGTGAGGCCTTATTTTCGGATTGAACTTGGCATAAAATGTTAGGTTTAGGCGACATCATTAGGATTTCATATTGATGCTAGCTTTGCATTTTGAAGCTAGTTTTAGGTTTGTTTTGGGGCAGGGATTCGCTGGTGTTAAAAGAATTTTGCTTATGTGTTTTCAGTTTAAAAAGAAATGGTGTTTGGGGTTTGAAAATAAAGGACTCATAGTTTTAAGTGGTGGTGTTGTTCTGTTTTTAAATAAAAGCTCAGTTTTAAAAGAGAAGGAGGTAGCTCTCAGAAATAAAAGAAAATCAGAAAGAAAAGAGCCAAAGGCCAAAGTTTAAAAAGAGAAAAAAATAATAATAATAATAATAAGAGAAGAGAGCTACCAAGATTTAAAGAAAGAGCTTTAAGTTTGTGATTGACCACCACTAGCCTAAGAAGAGTAAAGATGTCTTCTGTTTTTGTGGGTTATGCTTGGCTTCTTGCCTTGTTGTTTGGGTAGTTTCTAGAGGGTGAGTGAGCTTTAAAAAGAAAGAAAATGAGAGGGGTTTAGGATCATTGTTAGTGTATATGGGTAGATGAGAGTCTAGTCATGTATGCATCAATTGTCTTTACCATTAGCATTATGCATAAGTTCAATCCTTTTTGAGATAACCCATTATTTGAATTACCCACTTGAATGATATCATCTTTGTCTCATAACCTTGTCCTTAGCCAAATGTATTCTGTTCTAAGTGCATGAGTGTGATTCACAGTTTGATCATTAATTGAATGTTAAAGGTTAGGATTCTTGGATTGTTTGGAATATGAGAGTCATGATCTGAAATTCAACATGTGATGAATATGGCTAAGTTCTTTAAAGTAGAGTTTGTATACTGCATCCTAGAATTAAGAACAAGGACCCTTGAGATGATTCATTTGAAAAACACTTTTTCAAGAAATTTGAACCCCCATTTTCAAACCTCTCTCTTGGATTTGTCTTTGTTTGCTTGAGGACAAGCACAAAGGCAAGTTTGGGGGAGTTGATAAACTCATAATTTAGCATATTTTAGCACTCATTTAAGATAGATTTTGCATTCATATTGCATTCATATTTAGATTATTTGTAACTTTTGCTCTATTTTAGGTTTTAGACATGTTTGCATTAGCATTTGCATATTTCTTGCATATATGCATTGTTTTTAGGTAATATGGAGTACATGGAGCTGTGTTGGACGCTGAGCATGGACAAGGAGTCAAACGAAGAGCTTGGGAGTTGCTGGGAGTCAAGAAAGAGTTCGGCCAAAAAGAATTAGGCAGAGATCGACCACCAAATCGACCATCCCACTCGTTTCAGGCAGAGATCGACCACCAGATCGACCATCCCACTCGTTTCAGGCAGAGATCGACCACCAGATCGACCATCCCACTCGTTTCAGCCTCAGATCGACCACTAGATCGACCAGGCCACCCGTTTCAGCTCAGATCGACCACTAGATCGACCAGGCGGGTCGATCTTCGGCCCAGATTTCTGCTTCCTTCCTTGGACAGCTCAGACTTTGTCTTTTAGTGAGGGGACCAGTTGTGTGGTCCTATATGAACACTCTAAACCTAAAATTTTGGGGGATCCACGAAATTTACAGCCTCCATCCCCATTTTTGGGTTTTGTGGATCACCATTAAAGCATCTTTTTCCATTTTCAAGCTTTATCTTTTGTAAAAACTTTGATTTTGAATTTAAGAACTCCTCTTTAAGCTTTAATCTTTCTTTCTTGTTATCTTAATCATGTTTAACTCCTCTTATCTTATGATTAAGAGGGGTTTGAAAATGATAATAGAGTAGTTCTTTAGGATTTAAGGATGAGGTGATTAGGAAGGTTTTAAAGGTTAGATCTTGGTATTTTCTTGCTCTTAACTTTATCCTTTCTTGGTTTGGAGTATCAAATGCTTAAAGACCTTGAGAGAGGCTTTATGATCCAAGAGATTTCCTTTTCTCATAAGAACTTAGGAGATCTCTTATGTCCATCTAGTAGTTGCTAACCCTTAAGAGGGGATTTTAAAATTTTTCTCTTGCTCATTTCGTATTGCATTTAGTTTTAGTTGAATTTCTCCCTCATTTACCTGAATTTGACTTAGCTTTACTTTGCTCTTGTATTCCTAGTATCTTTCTCACCTAGGCTGGATTGACACCTAAAGTACTACAGCAACACTAAGAGGCTTTAGGATTGATAATTAGAACTGTGAAAAAAGGCTTTCTATCATCTACCCAGATTTGGTCCGCCAGTTTCTCTCTACAGTTCGCGTCTACTACGCGAATGTGCTGGCGAAGCGTGCACAGGAAGGCACGATGACGTTTCTGATCCGAGGGGTTCGATACCGGATCAGTCTGATTGAGCTTTGTGGGATATATGGCTTCTCTGACCATCCCACAGGCGTTCTCCTTCCCTCTCAGTGGACCCATATGCGGACATTCTAGTCCAAGTTCGGGAATGGAGTCTATGACAGCAAGACTAGCACGCAGACAGAGGTTCGCCATCCTGTCTTGAGGTACATTTTGCGCCTCTTTGGTCATACCATTTTGTGCAAGTCTGCCCCTAGCAAGACTCGGGTTAGTGAGCTGATTCTCCTCTACTACGGACTTTATGAGATGCTTGATGATGTGATCCCTATCGATAGCATGGTTCGCGCCAACTTGGGCGCTGTTTTCGCTGAACATCTGGTCTCCTTGAAGACCAAGCCGTTCACCAGTCCATGGGAGAAGACCGAGAGTGTTGGCAGCCTTCTGACACCGATCTTTCATCATTTCCAGATCGATGTCACTCCTTGCAGTCTGCGCAGTGACATATCACTTATGGATGACCAGTATCTGCGCCATGTCACCTGGCTGAAGATTGGAATTGTTTGGACTTTCACTACTACTTCTGGAGAGTATGTTGGCATTAAGTTGCCACAAAGAGCCATCACTACGATTCAGGGAGTCCCACACCAGCTTTTCTTCATGCCAACTCAGACTCTGCTGCGTCCTTTGGCTCTGCGCCTTGCTAGAGCTGCTACAGGTGGTGCCTCTGCTTCTATTGCTGCTGCTGCTGCTGATGCTGGACCTTCTACACGCCAGAGTTGCTCTTCTACTGCTTTCAAGCGTCCTCCACGACCACAGACACCCATGGATATGGCTGCTTTTCAGGAGTATGTCATTGACAGCTTTGAGGGACTCTGGGATGCTGTTGCTACACTTAGCAACTGTGGTTGTGTCCGCCCCCATTACACCATTGAGACTTGCGAGGATGAGGACTGAGGCTCCACTATCTGGTTACTTGCTTCTTTTTCTTTTTTATATTTATTTCTCTTGAGTCATTTTTATGTTTTCTTTGAGTCAGTTGTCAGTTTCTATGATGATGTTTTGTAAGATTGTTGAACCAGGTTATTATTGATATGTTTGGATGTTGTTAATTATGTGTTTGAGTGCTCAAAAAGTCCAACTTTCG